TCATCCAACCCTCTGGACATGTTAGTCTTGCCCTTCTGAAATAAGGGGCAATACTCAGGTAAGGGGCACAGTGCACAAGCTGAGGCCAAAGCCCTTAGGATCCATTAGCCCTTGAGTACAACCTTAACAGGGGCTTGTAAGATAAGGTCAGTATTCCAAGAAATCAATTTTATTGTAACATGAGGGCATCATTGCAACCAATTGCTGTACAAACAGTCCATTACAATGACTAATATTGATTTGAACAAATTTCAATCACCATTACAATGGGCATTGCAACCATGATTGTAATGCCCATTACAAGACACACTCTATTATTGGAAGCTATTTCAAGCAGTGGTTTGTATTTAAACCTTTCAATGCTTTGTAATGCATTGAAAGTTAGATTAGGAATTTCCAACAAACATCTCTTATCTACACATATCTTGCAGGCTTTTCAATGAGTAGTCCAGCCTCTTGGTTTGATAATTTGGTTGCATATATCACACAATTTTGAGTGCTCAGGGGCCATTTGGGCACACAATTACAGAGGTTGTTTTTGGAAAATTGAAGATTGAAGAAAGAAAGAGCTGGCAGGCCTCATGTTGACACATATGCTTGTCATCAATTACCATAGGCTTACAAATCCTTGAACACATTGAAACCCGGCCAGGAACATTACCTTGTGATTTCAGCACGCATTTCGATGACATCTAAATATAGCTGATTGCAACCGCTTTCGTAAATTTCCGACACAGCCGGGTAACGCTGTAAGCTCTGATATCAGTGGCGGACAACAAAAGACAACAGAGAACTATCCAGTTTAGATGCCGGTTCAGGATAGATGACTAATGACTCGGAATGCATCAGAAGAAAAGCCAAATGCAGAATAGGCTTTTACCACACCATTCGAAATCTGAATGAGACCATTGAATTCCGAGCCACCTGCTAAACTAAGGATGGTCCCAAACCTCGGAGGAAACATATCTGAAAACGGTAGGCTATGCGTGGAGCCATGACTGTGTAGTGCTAGTCCATCAGTGAGTTTTAGCAAAAGTTGTCAAAGTGCGCCTCACAATACGAAGTCCTGGACCCTCATACTCACAGGAAAATATTGTCAGCATGGGCACAGACCACCACCACTGCCTGCATTGAGATATTCTGCAATAAACTCGAGGTTGGGTGCCATTTCCTTGGTTTCGCCTGGGTTCAGTATTATTGACCGAAGATTGTAGATGCCAGAACACTAGCTTGGAATCTGACATGGGGCTTTTCTTTTCCCTTTGACTGGCTGCTCGTTTCAAATATCGGTTTTTGGGGGCGGTAGGTTGCAATAATCATCATCTGAAGAACCCAATGAAGCAGATATCTACAGGGGTACTTGCACTGATGTACCTTGGTGTGCATCAGCACATGCCCGCCAGTACCATTTGAGTCATGAAATAGCTTTCAAGGAAATTTCAATGCCTCCCACTAGTTGGCAAAGCATACACCCGTCACATGCCGGATAAAAATACACCAGAAAGTGGGGTGGGCTTTCGCTCCACCTCGGATGTGCTAGCCAACCGACTGCGGTATGATGTTTTTGTATAGATTTGCTCTTTTGAGCTACTAAGCGCGCCGCTATATAATCCCAAGTGTGTATATAAGACGATGGGAGTAGGGCTTCTTTCCGTATTGTGCGCCTACGACTGAGATGTCGACGTTCCCGCCCTCGAACGAAAGACCTGCCGTGGAAGAGCGTCCACATCATGCTCACCACCACTCATCACATATGGACGCAGAGACAAGAGCAATCGCGTGCGTATAATATATATGATTGCCCTGTGTCAAATGCGCAGTCTGACCCTTTTATGTCAGTAACGCCGAAACCAAGCTATCAAACCCCTTGCGCGGTATACCTCATGATCGTCTTATGGCGGATGTAGAGATTTTTGCCCAGGAGAAAGGGCTGACTCATCTGCTGCCTGAGCTTAAGAAAGGGGCGCTTGTTGCCCAGGATCCCACGTGTATGTTAATTTCAGAAACGTTTTCCCTAGCTGACTTGAGATCTTTAACGTGCAGGTCATAATCGTCTAGACATATTTTCAGATGAAGAAAAACGGATTTTAACGGAAGAGGTCACGCACAAGTGGCGACAAACGCCCATGCTGTATTACGTTGGTGTCGCCCTCTTGACTGTTTGTCATAGCTCACACCGATAAATAGATGGTCGTGATGTCATCACTTGCAGCGGCCGTTCAGGGAATGGACGAGGCTGTTATCAATGGCGCTCAAATCATTTATCCCAAGCAGTTCGGCATTGGTTCCAACAGTCGTGCGTAAAAGCTCTTCTATCATTCCAATCATCATCACTCATAAATTGTGTGTGCAGAACGCGATACATGGTTGGTCGGTCTCATCAACTCTGCACCCTACTTGTGTGTGCTTTGTTCTTATTGCAGAATGTCGTTCCTCATCACTTTACAGATGCTGTTCCACCATTTCTTGTTGGCTGACGCATCCGCTCAACCACTATCTTGGCCGTAAAAAAACCATTTTCCTCACTTGCATGATCTCGTTCTTGACATGTGCCTGGTCTGGATTGACAAATACCTGGTGGCACCTTTTCATCGCACGGTTCTTTCTTGGTTTTGGCATTGGTCCCAAATCTGCCACCGTCCCAGTCTATACCGCCGAGTGTTCACCTGCACCGATCCGTGGTGCCCTCGTCATGATGTGGCAGATGTGGACTGCTTTCGGCCTTGCTCTAGGAGACCTTATCGACCTGACATTCTACTTCATTCCGGACACCCCCGGTGTCACTGGTCTGAACTGGCGTCTCATGCTAGGTTCTGCTGGCGTCCCCGGTCTTCTTGTCTGTATGCAAGTCTTATTTGCACCCGAGTCACCTCGTTGGTTGATCTCCAAGGGTCGGTACGAGGATGCTTTCAATGAGCTGTGTCGGCTTCGTTTCTCGCGCGTTCAGGCTGCTCGTGATTTATACTACATTCACGTGTTGCTCGAGGCGGAGAACGAGACGACAAAGGGTCGCAACCGTGTTGTTGAGATGTTCACGATTCCGCGTAACAGGCATGCTGCCCTTGCTAGTTGGGTTGTCATGTTCGGTCAGCAGTTTTGCGGCGTCAATGTCATCGGTATGAGATTCGATTCGTGTTCCTTATTCGAAATGATTGTTAACACGGTGGCAGCTTACTACTCGTCCACCATCTTCGTGGATTCTGGTTTCTCGCAGGTTGCGGCATTGGCTTCCTCCTTTGGGTCCGGTGCACTTAACTGGTTGTTCGCCCTCCCTGCCGTTTTCACTGTAAGTGGTTTCTTCCATAGTTGGGGTTTCCGTAAATATTCAAAGTCGAAACACTAGATCGACACTTACGGACGGAGGAACTTGCTTTTGTTCACGTTTCCCTGCATGGCCATCTGTCTTTTAATCACAGGCTTCTCCTTCTGGAGTACTTCGGAAACAGGGCGCGTAGCTGGCGTCAGTATCGGAATATGTACGTCATCCTTTTGGTACTAAATACTGCCATTAACATCCACTCTTTCAGACCTCTATGCGATCTTCTATTCCCCAGGCGAGGGTCCAGTACCATTCACATATTCCGCAGAGGCATTCCCTCTTTATATCCGTGATCTCGGCATGTCCTTTGCCACTGCGACCCTTTGGTTCTGGAACTTCGTTTTGTCGATCACTTGGCCTTCGCTCGTCTTGGCCTTCAAACCACAAGGTGCCTTCGGCTGGTATGCAGCGTGGTGTTGTATTCTCTGGGTGCTCATCTTGCTATTCGTGCGCGAGACCAAAGGCAAGACGCTGGAGGAGCTCGACCAAATTTTTGCTGTTCCCCTTGGCGCGCATGCTGCGTACGGCCTGCGGCAGATACCCTACGGTTTCAAGAAGTTCGTGTTATTCCAAAACCCTGTCCCTGAACAGCTCTATGAGTTCGAGAGCGAAGTGTCGAGCACCAGAGGTGACGAGAAGGCGAGGAGGGAGGAGGATCCGGGGAAGGCACATGTATGAGGAGTTGAGCTGTGATATGATAATGGCCGATGCTTTGCTTGATCTTCATCTAAGTATGCATTTATTCCTACACTATCTATCTGTTTTTGTTGCCGATATTACCACATGTGTTGCTATCTAATATTTTAATATGAGCTCTCGAAACCCAGTTGTTAAGTTGCAGAAATAATTCGACCACCCACTTCTGTTGAATCCTAGGCGTGAACCCTGTATTGTGTCACTGCCTCCTTTGGTTTGGGGAGTCTCAAATTTCATAAGGAACATGCACATATGGTTTCCTCGACAATCCTGATGCAAAACATTCCCAAGTGAAAGTGGTGGGCAATTTTACACTGATTACTGCGATGCTGGACCATGTATTGCTTTAAATACTAATCTCATCTATTCACAGCTTGTTCGAACTCGCAGTCTCACTCTTTTCGTCACTCGTTAGTAGATATTCCATAAATCCGACACTCATGTTCTCGCAAACTGTCCCTGGTGTTTCCACAACATTCTCGAGCTCAATCCCTCTCCACTGCATGTCACTGTCAGCTCAATTGGACAAGTCGCATGGAATCGTTCGGCTTTTCCGTGCGCGCCGTTCTCGGCGGTTTGCATTGTTTGCATTACTTTAGGAAATGTAGTCGATTCTACATTCTGCTTTCGAAGTGTGCTAAAATGAATGGTGCAGGAGCAGCAACCCGCTTTGAGATTCGCATGTCCCTTTCAACCTTGGTGGGCCACTTTTGCTGAAGACTGATCATGACATTTCTTTAGTAAAGATTCTTCCGTTAATCCTCGTTGGCGACGCTGTTTCTCAGTGCTTAGTGCAATCATACCAGTCTATCGTGCCTAACCGTGATCGACAACATGGAAATACAAGTGTAGCATAGCCTAAACCTTGATCTCAGCCGAACTCCATCCGCAGTCCTCATATCCTTACCCTCGTCTTTCGCCCCACCCATTCCGCCCACCACTCACCCCATCCTTAATCCTCGTCATTTTACTTCATCGTACCATCATGTCGGGCAGCTTAGCAAGTCGATATATCAGGTTTGAAGGTAGGTCAGGGTAGGTCGCTCCGTATCACCTATGTATCCGTTTCGTGATTCTCACTCTTTTTACAGTCATCAGCGGAAAAAACATTCAAGTCCCCTCCAAGCGCATTCCCGCAAACATTTACATATCCATTAATGTCGACTCCCGGAGCTGCTGGAAATCGGCCATCAGTGTCTTATCATCCGACAGATCTGTAATGTGGGACGATAGTGTGATTCTGTAAGGTCCATGGAGACTTTCTGACACGATACGAGAACTGATTTTTGGTTTATAGGTCATCGCATGCCTCACCTGCATTATCAATCGAGATCAGGGCACCATATGAGGTCGGTCGAATGCTAGGCAGTGGAGAGGTCATTGGGAAGCTTCAAATGTCGTGGAATAGACTACTCAATCATGGAGATGAACCTTTCGGTGAGCGATTTTCTTCTCATTCATGCAGATATTCTAACATCTCGTAGATCCATCCTTCCCACTCGTGCGCGGTGTCCACCCTTCCCTCGCGCTGAAGGCCGCTGTTGTACATGCTCGCGACAATCAGGGCGGTGCGCTGTCTGATGTGAGTGACACTAGTTTCTGTTGTTGGCTTTTACTGACGGAATGCCAACTATAGTCCCTCGTAGACTGAGGTCGCTCGAGACACAGATGCGGGCCACGCACAATTTGCTGCATACATAACGAGCAAAACGGTCTCACCTGAACGATGCGGTGCAGCATTTTCAGTTGGTTCTGGATCAGTGTCTGGTCAGCCATTCTGACCACGCAACTGCCCTCACCAACCATGCGTATGCGCGCCTTCAGGGGTATATTTGCAACGATCTCCAAGACATCGCTTTTTCATTTCCATTGTACTTTAAGCTGCAACAATTACTGAATCAACCTGGTACGTCTGTCACGTACTCTCATGCTATCTTGTTTTCGCATCCGCTTTCGTTTTTGTCTACCCTCGGAATCTTCAGCAAATTCATTCATTGCTCGACGACGTGTATATTCGAATTGTGAGTGGCTATCAAACTCTTGACAGCGAATTGTCCAAACGTCACTTGTATTGAAGTGGTCACATAAAATCAAGTCTGCAGGGAATACTTAATAATTATGGGCCTACTTTCATGTTGCGATCTAGCACACGATACAACCACAAAGGGTGATAAGTAGTTCCGGTGTACAAATCAAAACGGCACTCGCTGCGAGGGCAACATCTCCGTGGGCATTTAGCTCATTCTTCATCGAGAGCTGAGTGAAGTATGAGTGAGGGTCATAGTACGAGTGGCACTACAGAAAACTTGCCAGGAACCCAAGCACGGAAGATGGCCCTCGTGGGTTCATCACTCATGTCCATCATGTATCGATACGCTTCGAGGGTAGCCCCAACCTTACCTGCCCGAACGAGTGCATGACAGCGTTGTTGGTTTGCAGTTTGCCACAAGGATTTGAGGTCCCAGCCGAAAAGCTGCATGAGCACACAGTTGAGCATGGATCGGATTGTCACATCATATCAACGTACCACGACAAAGTCCTCATATATAGAATGGACATCCAATTTGGAAAAGAAAACGCCAGCATTGACGCCAGCAGTGAAGTGGCCAGCGGCATCTCTGTAAAGGGCACCATCCATGGCAATGGTCCCAAGCTGGATTCGCATATACGCCTAGTATGCGAAACGCAGGAAAATAAGTGAGCGCACAAAATGGTCTTAACGGAATGTACCACACTCACTTCCACTACACGACAAGCGAGAGGATCAGCATTGGGACGAGATGCTAGCTCTTGGACGGGCAGCACTGTCTCTTCACAGGGTTTGGCATTGAATGACGCGATGGCCTGAAAAACCATGATGAAGCGTAGAGTATGATTCGAAAATTACCTACCTTGACCAAGAAAAGAAAATGAGTTGTCTTTGGGTCTGCGTTTGTGAACGTGAACGCAAGGTCAAATGCTGCCATCGCTTCGTGCACCTGCTGGTTTCCGCAGAGGGCAAGGCCCTGGGAGATATAGCCTATCAAGGAAGGCTCAATGCTGACCGACTATGTCACCATCCAAGTTAGCCTGTATTAAGTGGGGCGTAAGGAGTCAGCGTATCTTACCTTGGTTGCATCCTGAAGTGCGTCGTTCCAGGCAAACTGTCTCGCCATGACGAATGAACGATTGGCATAGGAATTAAAGTTGTTGGGATCGACATCAATTTGTTGTGTGAGCAACTGTATAGTAGTAGGCAGGTCTCCAGTTATACATGCATTGCGAACTGCTGCGTTTATAACGAGGATCTGGGTGAAGCATGTTCGTGTTGTGCGATAAGAGTCATAGGTAGATACATGCCTTGAAACTAGAGCCTTGAGCCTTTTCATCAAATCTGTGAGATGAGACGATCAAGAATGAGAAATCACCGGGCACTTACCAGTGACAGTCCCTTGGGTAGTTTCCACTCTGAGATCTTCATATCATTACCTCCGCTGAGGATGTGCCCGCCGTCCACGGAGAAGGCGACACAGCGTACGTCGCTGGAGTGCTTCATGGGTCTATCCGACAATCGCCAAAGGCGTACAAATTTATCACTAGATGCAGATGCAAGGAGCGTGCCAGAGGCATCGATAGCGATGGAGTTGATGGAGCTGGTATGGCCTGCCCATGGATCACCAACCTGCTCCCAGGTCGATGAATCCCACACTCGTATGGTACAATCATTACTTGTGCCCGCAGAGAGAAGGCATGTGGCATCGGGCATCCACGCGAGAGAGTAGTTGTATGTTGAACTTGCTGCATGACCCTTGAACTTTGCGACGCAACTCCGCTTGCCTACATTATAAACCTGGATATCGTGGTCCGTTGCAATAGCAAGTAGTTCGCCGGATGGCGAATACCGAACGCAGTTGATATCTGCACCACAACCAATCGGTGTTCCTGACAACTGCCATGTAGTTGTGTTCCACAGCTTCGTCGTGTCGTCCCATGAACCACTTGCCAGCATTGAGCTATCTGGAGAAAAATCCAAGGAATAGATCTTTTCATTGTGAGCTTTGATAGTTGGGGAGAGAGAGTCCCCAGTATCTCCATGCCAAGTAAGGAGCTCTCCTTTCTCATCACCGCTTGCTATCAATCGCCCATCTCGTGATACCGCCAATGCTTTCACGTTGGCACGATGCCCCACCATTTTCTTCAACACCGCACTTTGCTTCAAGTCCCACAGACGAAGCGTATTATCTTCTGAGCTTGTGACCATGCGCCGCTCATCAGGTAAAACTGCGACTGCGGTTATACATGCTTGATGATCTTCAAACACCCGGATTGGCGTGGTGTTTGGGACGAGTTGCGCCATTAATTGGAGGTTGATCTTGTGGGGTACGATTAATCGAGGTAGACTTGGTAGAGGGATTGCGAAGTCTTGCACTGGGCTGCAGAGATGTGTGAACTGGGCGTTCTTATACGGATTTGTATCACAATATCTGCCTCGTGCCTCATTAGCCCGACGCCCTAGACATGAGGCTGTTATCAGAAGCCTTGGCACATGCATCCAGATTGCGTTGCCACAGCCTTTCAAACCAGTCGAGGAGCTCTCCTAATGGTATGGTATGAGTGACGATCACTTGCAGGCATTGGGGAAAAAATATCCCTGTCGTCCTGATTGTGACGGCTCCACTTGATTGCCAATCCGACAACCTCCGAGCTATCGATCCGCTGTCTTTTGTGTTGTGCTCCCTTCTTTCCTCTAGATCTCTCTAATCCGGTGCTGCCCTATGGTCATTGGAACAAATAAAGTTGCTCAGTGCGTGAGACAAGGTTCTCGCGTACTCTCGCCAGTGCCGGCGTCAACAAGAGCCTTTGAATTCAACAAGCACAAACAACACGTCGCGAATGATTATTCTCTTGTCCAAGAATCAGCAATTGAAATAACGTCTGCATGGAGCATGCATGTCATGGCTGCATGTAACTGCCTAAATTTCCAAGGCGTCATGTGTGGTTTCAATACTGGGCTATCTGTTGCTGGTGATGTTCTAAGTGTCGAATCATGCACGATGGCCAATCCATCATTCACTTTCGTAAGTCGTGTACTATGGAAAGACTGCTTTGATCTGACTGCGAGAGATTAATCTGAAATTAAGATGGTATTCAACAGCAAAAGGTTCCTGGTAACAATGATGTCGGCCATACATAGGATCATGTCTGTTGGCTCTGCCGCAGTAACTGTGACTCCTCTTGTATCTTTGAGACAAATGCGTCATAAGTTTACGTGTCCCTACACACAACGATTGAACTCACCCAAGGTCTATCCTGTCCACTCACATACTTCCTCGCCGGACGTTTGAAGCACGACACCCTCTCCACGTCCTTTGCATCGTAAAGAGGGAAAATAATTCCCAGCTCATAGTTGATCACCTGATGAACGATGGGTCATCAGGAAAGCTTCGTAAAAGAAAGTCCGAACTGACTGACATTGAGCACTGGGTTGAACCCAGAGCCAGAAAGCGTTCCCCATGCTGAGGGTGTGAAATTATGCGAGCCAACATAAGCCCAGCCAATTGGGTCGTTTTGAATTTCGATGTCATCGGACTCAGGCTCGGTTTCACTGTCAGACAATTCCTTCTCTTTTCCCTTTGACTGACTGCTCGTTTCAAATATCGATTTTTTGGGGCGGTAGGTCGCAATAATCATCTGAAGAGCCGAATGAGTCAGAGATCCACAGGTGTACGTGCACTGCTATACCTTGGTGTGCATCAGCACACGTCCGCCAGTACTATTTGAGTCATGAAATAGCTCTCGAGGAAACTTCAATGCTTCCCACTGGTTTGTGCGGCAAAACATGGTCCCACCTCCCTATCCATCATTTTGAGAGATATTCAAGAGTGATCGCCGAAGACACATGACCCACCTGTTCACCAAGAACGCTATCATGCACAGTCTTCAGGCTGGGGAAGACAATTTTCACCGGCGGCCACGACAACTTGGTACGTCTGGATTTTGGTTCGTCCAGCCAGTCTTCAGCTGATTCTCCACGCGCTGACCAGTAGAACTCATTTATCCATTGGGTCGAGTAAGTTCCTATACTCGAGCCCTACACAGTATGAATCTTTCCGCAGGAGAATTGAAGAATTTGGACTTACGTGAGACTCGACAACGAGGTCCTTAGCAGCCTTTCCCTTTCCGGTACGAAGCCCCATGTCACGGACGGCCTTCATCAGTCTTGTATGACCAGTCAAGATGATATTCGGCCATCCTTCATGTTTACCGGCAATGGAGGGAACGAGTTTGACCTTCACTTTTGACCAATCCCACTTCATTCGCAAGTCACTGATAGTTTGAAGAGGTAGATTTGGGTGCTGGGAGATTGGATCAGTAGTGCAGTCAATGAGATTCCTAGCATGACTGACGTCGTTTGCCAGCATGTTTGCAAGCGCGGGTCGAACGTTGACAGCGCGCAAAACGTTTTGCATGATTGAAGGGAAGTCATCGATAGACTTGGGATCGTGTGAGATCGGAGCAGATCGGGGCGGTAGATCTTGCAGCCAAACGGCCTGTCAAACTGTTCAAGAACTCCCTTGCGTTAAGTGCGAACTCACATTCTCGATATCGCGCCAATCGTAATCAACCAGGTTGGCGGTGGATATGACTACACGAAGCCGTCCAGTCTTGTAGAATATCTTCGGAGAAAATCAGCCAGCATTGTGTAGTGACACGAATGGACTCACAAGCATGAACTAGGGACGATGAAGTCAGCGGAACGTTCTGGAATCTGGTGTACCAATAAACTTACTTTCATATGTTGGCAACCTCGCCCATTGCGGAGAAAAGGAACAGTCATAACCCAGTTTGGAAGAATATTCTTAATGGTTGATTGACCTGACTGATCAGGCTGTGCCACGATAATCACTGGAGTAGAGGGCGCAAAGAATTCATATATCCAAGAGACAGACGTCGAGTACGACGCTATGATAGCGAAAGATATATCAGATTTCTGAAGAGCTGCAGCATCACGCATCATGAATACAAAACACAGGAGAACCAACGCGTACCAAACCCAGTACCTCTGTGAGGCGGAAAGTGGACTGTTCATCTTGACGGGGTTGAGAATGCTTGTTGGCTGTTGGGCGTAGTTCGCCGTCCCAGAACAGTTGTTCAGAGGTTGGTATATGATTTATAGTAGTACTGGCTGTTCGCGAACTTGCTGACGAGCTCGAAGGGACACTAGATGATGAAGCAGAAGCAATGTTCGCTCGACCATTAGCTTGTATTTCAGAGGAGGGGATGTGTTGCCTCTTTGCAGGGGGTGATATACAACCTCCATCTTCCGCATCCTGCCCACGTACCCTCTTCAACCTCTCGAGGCGTTCTCTCTCCATCCGTGCCCGTTCGGACAAAAAGCTTGCTGCTGGGGTGCTTCGAGCGCTCTGAGACAGAGGCTCAGGATTATGGACAGATTGCGTTGTGGCTCGCGAAGATTCGGTCTTGGACGCTTGTATTGCCTGTAGCAGCTCAGACTGAAAACGATCGTCGTCATCGTCCTCTGAATCACTGATTGAAATGGCCCTCGAAGATGATGTGTTGGCCTGGGACTCTTTGAGACTCAAAGCAATCGCTCTGATTTATCTGGTAAGAAACTATGGAAGGAAGTTGCAATAGATACAACTGACCTTTCCAAATCTTTGTCCATGTGCAGATCTTGTTCTTGCAGGTAGGTAATTATAATTGAGTATTGAAGTCCAGATGCACCGCGTCTCACTGTAAAGACACACGTGATTTACGCGTGACTTTTCTAGTCCGACACGACAGCCAGTCCTTTTTGTCTCAGACTCACAGACCCGCACACTCTGTTTGGAACGCTGGTCTCGGTCAGCAGCCCATGACCCCGTTATCCGACACACTCAAGGCCAACTCGAATATGCGAGGCCCGCCACGTAACTATATACTACTACTAATATTTCTCCGTCTTTCCCAAGTCTCACTACACCTCTAGTAGAAATTCATACTTTTGTGTGCACAATCTTGCACCAATATTGGTCCCAACCAACTGCTCGGCTCCACATGCTACTCTGAATCTTCTGGGGCTGTTGTATCCTCTGCCATCAGCCTAATCTCTGCTACAGCGCTGTCCCACGTCATTTCTGTGACATGTCCGTGGAATCTTGTTGGAACGCCCCACACGACCTCACCTCTATAGGAGTACTTCGCACTTCGTGAGTGTTGTTCGCCAAGGTTGCTTCTGCAGACATGTCGCTCAAGGTTGTCAACACCATTCACTGGATGGCGTCGAATGGTTCGCAGTCGACTCATCACTTGAATACATGTCCAAGTGTCGTCATTAATCCACTTACTGATGTGTTTCTTTTTCTAGGGTCCCTCAACCTCGATGGTTTCGGTGACGGTGACTGACGGAGCGGGATTTGGAGTTCGTGCATGAACATGCCTCGATCATATTGTTTTGTTGTAAGTCATGAATTTCAGTTCGCTTGACACGTCGTTCATTGACGTGTCTGACGACCAGGAGTCTGAATCCTTTAGCAATGATAAGTAATGGGCCTTTGCAGCAGAAAGCTATGAGGTGCCCCCGAAATTAGGGTGAGTCTACTGAGCTCTGATGATATGTTGAAATATACAACCTGCCAAGCCAACAAACAAGAACTTCGAAGTGTGATGACGGAGACGGGAGTAAGCACTTACTGGTGCGGTATCGGGATATGTGGGTACAAGTAACACACAAGTTGTACTGGCGCCGCTGCTGGTTAGTAAAAACAAGTGCGAATAATTGAAGGCGTGAACTAGTGTTGGGTGCGAGAACAAAAGCCATATATGAATCGCGTATACTTACTTCAGTACCTCAGTACGACCCGTTACAAGTACTTACGTTTAAGCACAACTTGGTTCGGTGCAGATGGACCACACCACAGGAAACTGATTTTTAGACTCCCAGACATTCTGCAAGGCGTGTTGCGACGATGGATGAGAGCCAGTTATAAGTATTGTGTCATGCGAATAATAAATTCCAGGTCAATTACATGTCGAAGCATAAGCTACCTTGCTCGTCCCGACCTTCCACTCCCACATTCTAAGTATGAAGATATTGAACACAAATCTAGGATAATTACTGAACGAGTACATATAGGGAGCTCAACACCCTGCAGCTGCTCCTGTAATACGGCGGCCAAGGACCGCAGAAGACTTGAGAGATTGGAGACGCCTGTTGACCTCCTGCCATGCGTACCGGATGTGGTGTCCACTAGAGCCGTAGATGACGCTCTCGACAGAAGGAAGCATAGAGAAAAGGATGTAAGCGACAGCTTCACGATCCGCTATGTGAGAGGAGCGCACATCTAATGTTTGCAGAGATGTATGCTGGAACGACTCGGCCTGAGGATCGATATCGATATTCAGAGCATCCATTAATATGTGCAGCGTATGCAAGTGAGGAGATTGACGCAGCGCTGTGAATAACCCGCAGAATGTAATGGTGGCTGAGCGAAGATGTGGGTCTTCTAATTTCAGAGAGCGGATGTGCGGCCAACTTGACATGGCTTTCAACAGAAGGTGGTTGTTAAGCCGAGTGCAGCAATGGGGAAAAGCGAGCTGCAGGGTTTGGAGTTGCGTGAAACAAAAAAATTGGGCGATTGGTGTCAAGGAGCTGTCTGAGGGCTCCGGAACTCTTTGATCACGAGATAAAATGTCAATATGTTGAAGGGTCTGGCATGTGGTGTACTGTGACAGGGCATGAAAAAGCTGCTCAGCATCTTCCAAGGGCAAAATACGGGTAATCATTTTGAACTCCTTGAGTGAGGGGAATGCTGAATTTCGCATGACTGCGATGACGTATGAAGCCGTGGTCACATGGAAAGAAAGAGTCGTGATGTTGAGGAAACGTGTGAAAACGAAGTTATCCGTGTCCAACGGGCAAAGGACTTCACCACAAATCGCCACTGAGAGAAGGGTAGGGAGGTTCGATAGGTGCTTCCATGCTGCCCAGTCGAGGGGCGGGCAATACAGAGTTACAAGCCGCTTGCACAAACGGATACTGTCAGATAGCAGGGACAGCTCATTCGCCGTGCTTTGGCAGGGGACCTTGATGGTTAGATCCTCCAAAGCAGCGCAACAGGTTGCAATTAATTTCAGATCGGGATGGATGAGCGGTAGGAAACAACAACGCAGCGTGGGGGACAGGAAGAGATGCAAGTATCCAGTTGGATGTAGAACCATTGATAACGACAGCAATTTCGGGAATATGAATGCCTTGATGGGAAGGGCTGAAAGAAGGTGAAAATGGTTGTCGAATGGGATTTGCAATGAGCGCACACGGTGGGCGTGACGCAAAAATTGACGGACTTCGTGCTCACATAATGGGTTAATGCCTTCAGAGTACCATGTGTACTGCGTTTAGACATTCAGTGAGCTAATGAACGAGGTAACATGAACAGAGCGCAACTAGTCCGCACTAACCCTTCCGGCATGATGGTATATTATGGGATGTAGCCTCGTTACACAGCCCAGCAGTGGTACTATTCCATGCATGTCAGCCCAAAGCAAATCCATTGCAGGCTCGTGGAAGGTCCTGCATATCGTTGCAAGCGTCGCAAGGGATTTCCGAGCCGATGATATCTCGCCATATGATAACGAGTCCAGGATTGTATTGACATGGGTGAATATATCCAGAAGGATTTCAGAAACAAGTAGGGCATGATGCATCGGTGGTACGGCAATGGAGTAAGTCCAGTGCAAAGAGTCTTGCACAACACGGACACAAAAGCTTTATTCTTGCGAGCGTCAGTGACCACGGCTTGAACAGAAGCGAACAGAACACAATTTCCAAGCATCGGTTCAGTGACACGTCGCTCATGCCGGATTGCCTGATTTCTGGTCTATTTCCCAGCCTATCCTCATGTAGGGAAAATTCAGCCCGTGCACGTTGTCCTGAGTTCAATGGGCCCACCTGATCAGTGCGCGTCTCTGGAAAGTCCCGTATCCACGTGCCGACACACATCGCATGGTTCGACTCGGAATAGCGACCATTTTTAGCTCCGAATCAAATGCAAAGTTTTGATCACTTCCATCTCCAGCAGCCCAGCTCGACTCTACGTGCGTCGTCAGTGACACTTGGACTTATATCTATCCTCTTTACCGGTCTATATATCATGATCGATTGATCATTCCTTTTCATTAATTATCCTGACAGAGGTTGCCTACTAGTAGGCTAGTACTGTCACGGTCCCTCGGACCCACTGATATTATAGTGCATCTTCAAGTTCGCACCCCAGAAAAATCTACGAACATCAGTCTGTCTCCCCCTCAGACTCATCCGTGTCTGTCATGCGCTAAAGGATTCTCAATCATAAAGACTGGTCTATTTAAGTCGAGGTATTTTCAACCAATTAAGTCCGTACGTAGCGAAAACGAGTTATCTTTGCTTGTGTGAGCAATGAGCATCGTGGGGTGGTATAAACTATGTATTGACGTCGACGTTACCTCTGTTTCAGAAACTCATCATGTGACGCTTGTAGTGTGACGCCCGAGTTCATGACTTCGTCAAATGGGGCGGAATCAGGCTGCCCACCTTATGAACAGATTCACGTGGGTTACGATGTATACACGCATCAGTACCACGGTGTTTCAGATCATGATCATGATCCTCTTATCAATTACATTATTCAAGCATGCAGGCAACATTGGGCCGGGAACGCACGAAACAGATATAGGTAGAGGTTATTGGATAGCGTAGGATACATGAGACCAGAAAAAGAAAGATCCAGCGACGAAAATTAAATCAGGGTGGTACAAACAATTATACTTGACGCAAGCGCATTACCATGCACAACTTCAGAAAGATTCTCGAGCATCAGTCCGTGTCCCAACTCAAACTCGAGGATTTGTGGCTTGTGACTATTTAAAAGACTGAGATGCCTATTGACCTCGTCCCACTGCTTCAGAAAGTGAATGTCGATGTTTTGTGTGTCAAATGGGTCTCGGTTGTCAGGCGACTTCGTTGATACGAGGGAGCATGGAGAAGAGGATGCGAGCAACAGCTTCAGCATTCGCTACGTGAGACCGGGTCAAGTTCTATGATTCTATGGTGGTATGTCGAAATGACTCGGCTGTAGGATCGATATCGATTCTCACAGCGTCTATTAACATGTCCAAGTTAACCAAGCGGGGACATTGAAGGAGTGCTGTGAATAGTCCGCGGAATGTGAAGTGGGCACCGTTTTCTCGTCCACTAATATCAGCGAGTATATGTGTGGCCAACTTGCCATGGCTTCCAAAAGAAGGTCGTTATCAAGATTGAAGCAGCAATAAGGGAAGTCGAGCTCCAGGGTTCGAAGCTGGGTGAAACAAAAGAATTGTGATCACTCTGATCGGAGCCCCCCCCCCCAACTGTTTGACAAGGGGAAATTATCTCAATGCGTTCAAGTTTCTGATCTGCCTTGCACCGGGACAGCGCGCAACAAAGTTGCTTGGCCTCCGCATAAGGCAAATCGCTGACTGTTGTTACAAACTCTCGTAGCGAAGGGAGTTCCGAGTGTTGAATGACTGCGATAGTGTACGTGGCCGTGCTTACAAAGAAAAAAGGCCTGTGAGGTTGCGGAAAGTTGCGAAGTTGTGGGTGTCCCGACTCAAAGGCTAGCGATGAGTCCTGTGCAGATCGCTAATCACCACTGTGAGGAGGGTAGGTAGGTTGGAAGTGTGCCTCCAAGCTGTCCACTCGAGAGGTGGGCAATACAGAGTTGCAAGCTGCTTGCACAAACGAACACTATTAGACGGCAGGGGCAAGTCATCTGCTATGCTATCATCAAAGGGCCCGGGCTCCATGGACAAGCACTCCAAAGTAGCAAAACGGCTCGCGATATATTTGAAATCCGGATGGATGACCGATAGGCTGCACTGGCGCAGAGTAGGGGATAGAAAGAGATGCAAATATTCAGCATGAGGACGATCGACGATGAAGACAGGCTCGGGAAAACGCATGTCTCGATGGGAAGATTTGCCAAAAGGTGAAGATGCTTGCTGCTTTTCACATGCAATATGAGCGCACACGGGCGGCGTGACGCAAAAATTGACGGGCCTCGTGCTCAGATAAAGGTACAATGTCTTGAGAGGACCAAAAATACTGCGCTGACATATGTTCGGTGAGTCAGGAAACGAAAAAACACGACGAGTTCGCACTCACAATTTTGGAGTTCCGATATATGAATGGATGCAGCCTCGTTACGCAGCCTAGCAGTGGTATTATCCCATCTTCATGTCAGCCCAAAGTGAATTAAATCCATTGCAGGCTCGTGAAAGGGTTTGTTTGTTGTTGCAAGTGCTGCGAGAGATTTCCAAGCAGATCACTTCGGGTGACATGACAATATTGGTAAGAATTTATCGACATGCGCGAATATGGTAAAAAAGGAGGATTTCACAAACGAACAGAGCTCGATGCATTGCAGCTGATTCAGTTGGCAATCATGTCGACAAGATATTATCAATTCGGGTGCAGTGTCACACAAATAGACACAAACAATATAGCGGACTTGGACTGAAATCATAGTATCTTCCCCTGTACGTGCCAGACTGGCCGTTTGGATTGAAATTTCAAGCCGTTTCATGATTTAAGAAATATGACAATACCGTTAATTTTGACAAGTCACCTCATCTTCTCCAGGGCTCTGGTAGCTCAGCGCCAGGCGCGCATATACACCCGACGTTACCATGCCCATGTCTTTGATTTCACGCATGCCGTTCTTTGCCAATATTTCTCCCTATGACCGTAATCGCAGAGCGGATCCTAACTTGATTCTGGGAAAAAATGGACAACCGTCAATCGTGATTTCAGACCCTCCAGCAGGACCTGGAGATGTCCCATACTACCCCGAAGGCAGCCGCAGGCCGGAATATGTGCCACAGCCGGGCACTCAGATCAGTCCTGATCCTATCAGTGCAACCGGAATGCAGACAGTAGGCCAGTTAACACAGTCCCAGGAATTGATGACTACTGTTCCTGCCTTGCCAATAACATCAGCTACGGCAACTGACACAATATCCTCACCGCTCAGTAGTGCAACGCCAAGTTCCTCGTTTTCATCACAAACGCCTACCACCACCAGCACTCCCTCCAATTCCTCAAGCAGCACCAGCACGTCCGCTCGTCCTACAGCACTCGTCTCTCCCGCTTCCATGCATACGTCCAAAACCGAGCTCTCCGCCCCGTTCTACGTTGCGATCATCCTGGGCACTGTCTGTGTTCTCGCTTGTTGCCTGGCATTTTTGGCATGGTGGATTCGATCACGCGCATCAGCGCGGAAGACGCGAGACGACGACGAACTTTGGACAGCGAGGGATGTACTCGAAGACGGCCCCGAGCCCAGCCTACAGGCGCACACCCCGCACTGAGGAGTCTGAGTTTTACCTCCCTGCGTCTCTCGTCCGGAGAAATACTGGTGATCCATTTTCCAGCCCAATAAACACACCGACGGCTGCGAATTTCTACAAATCCTATGATCGGGCACCAGGGTACAATCCCTCGAAAACGGTGGTTGGTGACGTCCACCCGCCCATGGAACAGCGACGACCTGCGTTCGCGAATCACGCAAGCACGTTCAGCGTACAGGAAAGCCCGCGCACACTTGGTCGGTTGCAGGTAGCAAATATTGCCCCTGGAGACCTGACGTCTGGTGACGAGTCAAGCCACGGAGGCACAACGTCTTACAGCACAAGGGTAGTCGAGTTGGGTCCACCGAGGAGCGCTATTCAGTATCACACGCAAAGTTTCCTGCCGCCGGAAGGAGATGGTCTACCGCAATTTCTCCCCTCGCCAGGCTATGCCCAGCGCACGCCTAGAGAGAGGTTACGGCCAGTGATGGAAAGCACACCAGGCATCGGCCCTGGAGACTGGCACAACATACCACTCCCTGACGAGGCTGAACCTCCCGACCCAATAGAAAACGAACACCCACCCCCGGAGGGTTGGGCCTCCGCCCTCAAGTCCAACTTCATGACCTGCCTTCGGCACTGTTACTGGCAACCGCACGCCCCGCCCATCCACATACAAAGAAAGCGACATTCCGCTGGGGTCTGCAAAAAATCACTCGCTACAACAATTTCCAGATCCCGAATACGACGTACCTCTCGCTGCTCACGATCCGCCGTCATACTCTACAGAGTCCCAGCTGAACGACGACGACCTAAACGGACTGCGCATTCGTGGACTGGGTGGTTATCCTCGAGACCAAACTTCCTACCCCGACGTATCGCAGTCGAATCTGGCTCCCAGCGATAGCCAGGTGACACTTCGCCCAGGCATGACACCCGTGTGGACGCAAGAGTCCCGCGTACCGCTGAAACACAACGCAGCTCCTATCGGTGTGACAAAGGATGATAGTCGTGCCTCACACGCCAGTTCCAGCAGCGTTTACACCTCTGAGTCTGTAGCTGCAGCCTCAGCCAACCTGAAGAACTACGGGTATGGGTTTACACAGTCGCACCAGGCGCTTTCTTCCAATAACGTTCCGAAACCACGCACGAACACAATGCATTCTGAACAATCTAAATTGTCGTCGCGGAAGAGAGGTGGGCAGCGGAGACGTTCAAGGCCTAAACCAGTTCGGCATGAATCATCGTCCGCGTCTTCTATGATATCCTTTGGATCAGACTTGTTACGTCCAACTCAGCATGGTCATCTATCCGGGAGGGAGAGTATGGCAAGGAAAGCGTTGCTGGAAAGAAGACGGAAGATGACGATGCACGAACCTTTGGATGAGTAGTCCGATACCTTTATCCTCTAACCAAGGCCCCAGGATCGAATTGCTTCATTTGTCGTCCAGTGTTATTACAAAAGGTGTATAAACAAGTTATCGAGACCGTGATATAGATAACGAAGGAAATAAGTACTGGGAAACGAGAGGAGCGATAACTGAACATGAAGTCTACTGCGTCTGGACATGGCACATGTTCCTTCAGTCTATATCACTGTTCACTGCTTGGCTTTGGCAGCCATCTGTATCGACAAGGTCAGAAGACGAACCTGTCACATACGAATTGAACGCACCAGGTTGAGAGCAGAGCCTGCTTTGAACCACTCAATTTGTCCCTCATTGAAGGAGTGAGCAAGAGAAATTTCCTGCAACATCATCCCATCAGCACCACAAAAAGCCACTACACGATCCAGGAACTCACATCCTTGCTACCATCTGCATGCTTGGCAACAAGAGTCAAGTTCTTTCCGGGGGCGAAGGTCTCCAAGCCCAAGATGTCAACCTTGTCGCTGGGCTGAATTTTGTCATAGTCCTCAGGGTTAGCGAAAGTGAGAGCAAGCATGCCCTGCTTCTTCAAGTTGGTCTCATGGATACGAGCAAAGGACCGGGTAATAATGGCAAGACCACCAAGGTAGCGGGGCTCAAGGGCAGCGTGCTCACGAGATGAACCTTCACCGTAGTTGGAGTCACCGATAACGACCCACTTGATGCCCTTATCGCGGTAGTAAGCAGCAGTCTGGGGAACTGGACCGTATTCGCCGGTGATCTGGTTCTTGACTTTGTTAGCCTCGCCGTTCTCAGAGTTGATTGCACCGATTAGACAGTTTTCTATTCCAGGGTGAGATGAAATCTAGAGAACTATCGGGTAAGGTGACTTACGCGAAATGTTCTCAAGGTGACCACGGTACTTGAGCCAGGGACCACCAGCAGATATGTGGTCAGTCGCTAGAAACAATAATGAGGCGCACTGCGATGACTCAGAAATGAGTTTCACTTACTGCACTTGCCCTGCACCTTGATCAGAACGGGAAGGTCAGCCGGGGTCTTGCCGTCCCAAGACTTGAAAGGATGGAGGAGTTGAAGACGGTCGCTCTTAGGGTCAACTGCGACCGCAACGCTAGCACGGTCTGCAGGAGGAGGCTGAAAGGTGTTTTGGCCGGGGTCATAGCCACGAGGAGGAAGCTCATTGCCAGTAGGGTCCGAGAACTTGAAGGGCTTGCCATCAGAGCCAATGAGGGTGTCCGAAACAGGGTTGAAGGTGAGATCACCAGCGAAGGCCATTGCAGTTACAATATCCGGGGAGGCGACAAAAGCATGGGTGGCGGGGTTAGCATCATTACGACCGGTGAAGTTACGGTTGTAGGAGGTGATAACTAAAAATCATTGGTTGAAAAATGTAATACGATGACACAGAAGACGCACTCGAGTTGACCTCGCCCTTCTTAACGTCTTGCCTGTCCCATTGACCGATGCAAGGACCGCATGCGTTAGCCAGAACGAGTCCGCCGACGGTTTCGAAGGCACCGATTTGACCGTCACGTTCAATGGTGGCACGGACCTGCTCAGAACCAGGCGTGATTGTGAACTTGCTCTTCACATCAAGACCATGCTCGGCAGCTTCACGGGCAATGGAAGCAGAGCGTGACATGTCCTCGTATGAAGAGTTAGTGCAAGAACCGATGAGAGCGACCTTGAGTTCTTGGGGCCAGTTGTTCTTCTTGACCTCCTCTGCAAACTTCGAGAGCGGGGTAGCAAGATCAGGAGTGAAGGGACCGTTGATGTGAGGCTCGAGTTCCGAGAGGTTCTGGGCATAAAGCATCAGTCCGGACAACGAGGACATCAACGACACTACAAACAATCTCGATAACCTGGTCGTACTCGGAGCCTTCGTCGGCCTGAAGGTTGTGCGCAAAGCGCTGTGCGTATTGAGCAATGTCGGAACGCTTGGTGGCGTTGAGGTAGTCAACCATGCGGCGGTTGAAGGGGAAGAGCGAGGTAGTTGCGCCAATTTCGGCACCCATGTTACAGATAGTGGCCATACCCGTGCAAGACAATGACTCAACACCAGGACCGCGGTATTCAACGATGGCACCAGTTCCACCCTTGACAGTGAGAATACCAGCGACCTTCAGAATGACGTCTACAAGCAGTTAACTGTGTGAGAAGAATCAATTCGAGAACGCACGAACCCTTTGGCGTAGTCCACCCTCCAATTTTGCCAGTAAGGTTTACACCGATAACATTAGGGCACTTCAATTCCCAAGGAATATCCGCCATGACGTCAACGGCATCGGCACCTCCAACACCACAAGCAACCATACCCAAACCTCCCGCATTAGGTGTGTGAGAGTCAGTACCGATCATGAGTCCACCAGGGAATGCGTAGTTTTCCAAAATGATTTGGTGAATGATACCAGAACCCGGCTTCCAAAATCCAAGACCGTACTGCGAACTGATGAGCAAATACAAAGACCCGAAATAGCAAACAACCGACTTTTGCTGTTGCGGTAGCCAAGAAATCGTACACCTCCTTGTTGAGATCAACGGCACGTGCCAAATCCTTAACACCGCCGACTTGAGCTTCAATCAAGTGGTCACAGTGAACCGTAGTTGGGACAGCTGCTGTGTCCATGCCTGCAGACATGAATTGTAACAGCGCCATCTATAATTACGTCAGCGAGGGGACGTAGTAGTGACGTTATGAACGGACCTGGGCGGTAGCATCCTGACATGCCACCCGCTGTTGATAAGGACAAAGTAATTTAGCAGTTACTCGGGGCAGAAGAGAACCGTTATCAGACATACGTCAGGGCGGAGCTTAAGGTAGCTTGTGCCTCGAATAATGTCCTGGTTATGAGGATCATCCAAGTGTCCGTACACTATCTTCTCCGATAAAGTAAGCGGGCGCTGAAGCCTGCGGACCAGATAGTGCATCAGAAACCAGACCATAAGTCAAGTAAATGCTTGCTATCACCTGTCACGGACGATGGCGAGGTTATCCTCAATACGCTGGTAGTTTATGTATGCACCCTTCTCCAGAAGCGACATTGGAACTTTGGTGTCACCAATTCTTGGGGCAGCGGTGGCCATTCCTGCGGCCAGCCGCTGCAGCGAGCGCATCGCATCGCGCGTTGAGGAAGAGAGGATAGGCATCGTCGAAAAGACCGACGAGCAGCTGTATGCGACGACAAGCAAGGTTTGAAGAAAAGCGTGAGCTCGGCAATTCGCGTTCCGATAGTTGCCAATTTATGCTTGTGATTCATGGGAGCTTGATAGCCAATCACAGTTATCAATTTGTAAGACTATTCCCGCTACGGCCGAACCACTTACCGCTTTTGATAGTGTTAGCCGGAGTTCTTCACTCAACAAGCCGCTCTGCCGCCGACTGCACAGGACTATCAGGGACTCCCCAGATTTGCTCACCGGACCATCCGATGAGTCACAGGTTTCAGACACATAAGTCCTTCAACAGCACTCAACATCGCCGACAACCCGACGATTCGTCTTAATTGGTCGGAGGCCGTCGCACGATAATATGGGAGTGCCTCCCTCTGAGTTGCATGCTGTGGGAGCTTCACCAGACTAACCACGAGGTTCTGCAGTACGCTGGCAATTGTGGGCGCCGCACTCACCTCGGCCCTTCCACGCCCGTTACCGCGGTACTAGGTACACATTGACATTGATAATATGCTGACCGACATCTCCGATGAACGCCAGTCCTTCAGTCAAGCGCGCTCAACGTAATGTCGAATTAGCGAACCAGTAGCAAAACTCCCCACATCAAATATTAACAGACGCATATCCGAAGCTAGTACCTTCCAGGCCCCGGGCGACAAGTGTAAACTGCTGTGCTGCTTCCCTCGTTTTCTTCGGCGATCGAGATCTTTTCGTAATCAGTACAGGAAGCTCGTATGAACGGCATGGACAGACCCAATGATAGCTTTTACGAAAATTCGCTTCGCCTCCGGGCCTGCCTTTGACTGCACAAAGTCATCCTGCACCCACGTCAGACTTCCTCACAGAACAACAACCAATGCATACCGCAAACAAGATATCAGTCATCCACGTTCTCGTTTCTGCGGGGAACTTGGACGCTACTATGGATAACAGCTCAATCAGGTTCTGCGTCGCGGATCTTGGCGCCACACCCGCGAAGCCACACAAAATGGCTCGTAGGATCGGCCGACCATGCCCTTGGATTAGTATTAGACTTGCATCTCCCAGATCATCACTACTGGCTGTTCGCCTTATGAGCGTTTCCTGACATCAACAAGTGAGAAGTGGTAACATCAATACAAAACCATAAGTACCAGAAAAGTGCATGTTGCAACAAGCGAATATCGCTCTTGCAGCGACAACGAAGTCACAGCGCATTGCATCAATGCATCGAGGGCGCCGGGTGGTAGTCGGTAAAATCCCACGAGGAAATGCTTTGCAATCTGATTGGTTTCAGTTAGCTTGCATTGGGCCTCTAATTCCGCACCCGGTACTCACGGTATCCATGCATCCGAAAAATGCCTGCACGATGTCAGGATTCTACAATAAGAAATTATCAGGACGCTCGTTCAAAAAATAGCGCAAGGTACACCCACAGCTTCCATCGCCCCAGGCTGTCCCAGTACTCCTAGCGATGCTTCAAGCAGTACTGGTAGTAGAGTCGAGATCACCCCCAGCGCCTCAGGACTTGGTGTGGGTTTAAGCGTCGAGGTCGAAAACAACACCGGCGGATCAAGCTGTATGACGAGCATGGTTGCTAAAGACAGCCATACAGCCGTGAGTTGCCTCTGGCATGCAAGACATATGATCTCAAAAATCGGAGCTGCAGGAAGCGAAAGCAGGGTGATATCCGAAGGCAAAGAAGTTATCGAACGGAAAAAGTCACTCAATGCCTTATTCAGTGTCAGTCGAATAATGTGTATAAATACATTGGAACATACATCTGAGACACCAGCATCCGTGGACCAGAATGTGGCTACATTTCTTATCGTGTTGAACAGGTCTTCACGAACTTTCGCCATAGTGTAGTTGTCACGTGCTCGTTGTAGGCGCTCAGCTTCGGCTCTCTCTTCGGGCGATTCGTCAAGGATAAGCAACGAGTCTTGCGTGCGTGTGAGACCTTTGGCTACCCCCGACAATGTCTGAAGCTGGGAAATGATGATGATACGAGTTTCGTCCACGAGCTGCGGAAGATAGAACAACTCAGCTTAAAGGAACCAGCGTCTGACTCGATACGAACCTGGGACGAAACATGCAGGACTTGTGCTAGTTTTTCGACTACTGGGTTAACAATCGCCTGGATGGGAGGAATCTCCTCTTCAGGTGGTAATGCCTGTATTACACTCGCGATTGATTGAAGAACCTTGCTCTTTTCCGTATCCTGGGCATGTTTGCATGACAATTTAGTGGGGATACAGATCATGCATGGATCTCACAGACCGGAATACCACTCAGTCCGGCATGCAGCTCCGCGAACGCTCCAATATGAGGCGCAAGCGCAGCACGATTAGCATCGCACAGATCACGAAGGCCATTTGCTGCCGGAAGGCATAACGCAGGCTCCGGCAGAGCAGCAACGACGTAAGAAATGGCGTTCATCAGAAGAGACGGAGTTGAGGTAGATGTTGGTGCCTTGGTGAACCATGTTGAGTACGCCGCTGAACGCGGAAGGTTAGGAAGAGGAACAAAGTCATGGTGCAATGCTCCTACCAATCAAGCCAAGCATCGTTCTACGTATTCGATCCTGACCTGAAGTTGGCAAACGACCAAGTACATCAGGTCCGAACAGCCGAGCGAGGAAGGGGTTGTCTTCCAGCGGTACCGCCTCTTGAATCGACATGATACAGTGCAACGTGGCTTCAATTTCCTGGCAGTAGGTATTAAATGAGCATCTATAAACCGAAAGAAGCGCCCACCTCCCATCCTTGGGATCCATCCGATTGCGCAAAGCGCTTTTGCATGTCCTCAAGGAAGTACCCCAGCATGTCATTTCGCAGGATGTAATATCTGAGGATGAATCAACATAAAATATAGGCATGTCGATCATCTTATTCACGCATTGATCAGGGTATCACCGACGTCCCTCCGATATCTGCAAATCGTTAACGCCATGCGAGTTGATGAACGTTGCTCTCACTCACACTTGAAACCTGTCGATCTCATCTACAAAACAATTCGTTTCAGCACAATACAAGTAGATGTGATATAAATCTATCACCTTTTGCCCAGTAACTGAGAGTACGCTGGTCTGGCCACATCACTTTCCTTCTCAGTATCTCCACAAGTTGAACGTATACCGCATTCACGACGGCCCATTGTTCCTTTTCCTTGACGTCAAGGAGCGAAGGTATACCACCTTGATCCTCAGCTTGGTCTTCGTACTCCACGCTCCACAACGACTCCTGAAAGAGGTACCAAAAGCCAAGAGTCATCTCGCTCTCCTCTTCGTCGACACCGTAATAACCCTGTAGTCCGGTATATTTCAAAAGGAGGTGTAAGAACTTCTGCACAAAGTAGGCGCGCCGGTAGGGTGTTCCAGGTATAGGTTTTAACGATGTGATGTTGGAGGCGAAATACATGGTGGAGTGGTCTCCCAGGGCAACCAGTAGTTTACAAAGTGAATGAGATACACCATCGATTGAACCGGCTGGGTATCGGATAACAGTGAGCAATCATATCGAGTGAACATGTGCAGCCACCGAGGCTCACCACGATCTCCATAACCATCAAGCCAAATGAGAAGAGGCTCTGTCAACGTGCCTGTACCCGCACCTCCGGCCAACGAAGACCTCGTCATGATCTCCTGTAAAACATCAGAAGCCGCTGAGAAGGTGGACCCGTCGAATCCGGAGTCTGGTGAGGGCATCATTATCGTAATCAACAGTGGAATAATGGGTGTGATGTCACTTGTGTAACACGTTAAGTTGAAACTTGAGCAGAATGTATAAAAGAACGTTACTTGGCCCGTAATGTGTATATCCATGCTTGAAAGCACTTGAGTGCGGATTGTAGTTCAGGCAATATGAGAGTAGGTCGAGTGATAGATGTTATGACAGCTTGAACGACCATCGGAGAAGCGTCCAGAAGAGATTGATGCATTTGCATCCTGGAACGAAATTGGTGATGATGCAGAATGATTCAGATTGTTGCACTCACTTACTGGGCCCTAGAAGGTCGGCTGTTTCGACCTCTTCAGCGACTATGGTAAGGAAGGCAAGGAGTTGTTCTGGAGGCATGCCAGAGGAAGAGAGAGTATTGACTGCCGACACTATCCAGTCCGGCCACCTTGAGGGTGAACCCGGCGCAATGCGGAGTGCAAGTGATGTGATCTGCAAACGATCACTAGACAGGCTTCAATCTAGAACATGCACTTACTGCAACAAACAGTTTGCGGTATACTACTTTGCCCTTTCCAGTCAATATCGAGTGCGAGGTGAGCTTGAGCAGCAAGTCTCGTAGATGTTCGGCGTTTTCTTCAGGAAATGAATCCCTGCAGTAATAGCAGCTGATCAGCACCATCGTGAGGAGGAAAAGATAGACCACTTACCAATCACGCATGATCTTAACCTGCGCGGTATGTGCGCCAAAAAATTGTACATTTGGGTCTGGATGCTCGATGAAAGGTACAATCAACCCCCATGCCTCAGGTCGTCTCTGAATCTCGACCAGCTCTTGCTGGATCCGCCGTTGATCCACCTGGGCATGTGCGCTCGAATATGCTTGTTGTATCAACTGTGGAAGTGTTGTTATAAGAAAACTCCCTAAAGAAGTGCAAACTTGAAGTACGTACTTGAGCTGCTTTTTGCACGTCAGGAGGAGACAAATCTGGGAGGAAGTTTCCGGACGACATTGCATATGAAACGCGTATATATTTCAAGTGAAGAAGCTGGTAACAGCCTATATGGCTGCGTATGTGATAGACTTCACTAGCAGATATTCTAGATTAATGGAGGAGAAGGGTGGCGGCGCGTCTATTCTCTTAAGGGCTCGATCGGGTGTCTGAGTCAATGTCACCGAGCCATGTTCTTATCGGTCGGCGTTCAACTTCCAACGTTGACGGGCGTCTCCCAGCTTTCCCGTCGCTATATTCTAGAAATCTAGGATACAACTTGATTACGCTACGTCGCGGTTCAAACCATGATCAGAGATTTGTATGGCATGAATCTAAACCATATGCAGTCCGTTAATTCTCGTGAATAAAAAGAATTGATCCTTCGTTTCAGAATCGTTTGCAAAGCACAAGTTGGATAGAAGTTCTCCAGATTTCAGGCCACAAGTAGATCACACCCTTTGACTATTGAGAATTCGACGCGGTGCAAGTGGCCCATCCAGAATTCAGATTCCATGTCAACCTGAGATTGTAATTTCATGGTTGACGTTCGGAGTCAGGTTTCTCACTGGACGCTTGTTCATCAGTGAACCGATGAACATATTAAAATACTATGCTATACCATATATTGATAACAATCGCAACAATGTCCACAAATATGCGGGGGGGGGGGTTGACATAGAAATATGTGACCTATCAATCAGACCTTCACGCGGAAGTGACTTCCGCACACCTAACCTATTTACGGGACTTTTGCACACATGGTGCATCCGCGGGAGTACTGCCGCAGTACTAGGTGCTCACCTGATGGTGCGCCACCTTAGGGTGACCCACCCTCCCCGACTCAGAACATTACCAACAGAGGATGTCCTGGGCGTGGCTGCTCTTATCCTCACAGGCTCTTATCGTGATCAAGGGTTTGTACACGTTGGATGCTATCAGAACACGGAGTACGATAACGAGGACATGAAAGCTACTCATCCGGAGAAAATTCAGTTTGATAGACTGGTACGTGATATAAGCACAAAATTACGCGTCACCCGCTTTCAGATCAAGTGGTTCGTCTTTAGACTTTAGCAGGCTGGACACCGGCATGAGCTCTTCGGTCACTACTTCCAGCGCATCAAACTCTGACGCAAACTTCACTTTGCGCTGGGAGATCGTGAGCCATGAGGCAAAACTAAGAGTAATTTATGCTCACCATAATTTTGGCCTTCTTTCCGATATCGCGTCTCCATGCAAAACGAACCATGTGCACCGTCAGGTAACTTGGTAGGCGCGAGAGACGCAACGTCTGGCTGTAAACTGCTTGACGCCCAAGTTCTTTTCCAATTGAGAGTTCATTGCCTGTGTGCGCGTAAGCAAAGACCAACCCAGGCACAAAAAACGCGCATATATCCTTGATACCAGTGTGCATAGAATTCGTTGTCGCTGAAATATCGCACTTGATTTTCAGTACCTTTTCTATCGTAACAATGCTAGGCTCTTCAGGCGCTTTGTCGCATTTCAAATCTGTCCAAATAAGTTAGCTGACGCGGAAAAAATCCGATTCGCTCTCTACGCATCTCTGCCATCATAAACTGATCAACGAATCTCCTTCCCCCCACCACTGTATTACCCGTAGTATCGATCTCAGGGACCTCTTTCAAGCCGTTAGTAAGCTGTGTCCACTGGCAACACCCCTCAGCATCTATACCTCAAGTCAACAACCCAACGAAAAAGACGGCAGAAAAAACGCTCACCTTGCTGCACGTACCCTCCTAACATTCCATTCTTGCCCGATCCATCAATCTCCCCGAACTGAAGCACACCCTGATGCAACACAGTCAAAAACGCGGTAGGGATATGCCCCTCCGTCGTACGAGACATGTTGCTGTACAAGTCTCTCAGCGCACGAGGGAGGACGTCCAAATGGGGTGACCGATCAGACGTGGGAGTGAGGTCGCGAGCCACGCATGTAAGAAATAGCAGCATACCTTGAGAGAGCTGTTTCAAGTTCTGGTATCACATGCATCGCTTGGACGGTAGCTTTCATGTAGCAGGTATTTCCGAGGCTGCGAGCATATACTTGTCACTTCATGGCACGCCATGAATCGCTGTACAACTCACTTTTCAATCCAACTGGAAAAGAGAGCTGCAAGAACAGAAAACGTGAGTAACCTACACGAACGCAAATAAAACAAACATACGGCTTCTGTGATCTCCGATTCGTCCATATCTGCACAGGAACTGTCACCACAACCCTTAGATTATACGCATACAGAGACACTCACCCTCGATAAAAACGATCAAGTCAATGGCCCCACTACAAGTACACATCAAACACGCAGGAAAAACTCTCGGTGTTAACCTAGACGCATCACTCCTACCTGCCGTATTCAAAGATGGGGTTTATCAGGTTACAGGTGTGCCGCCGGAGCGTATGAAAGTTATGATCAAGGGCGGCGTGCTCAGGGTGCGTGGTTTTCGTACTGTGTAGGCGTAGTGATAAAATATTGATTTGTGTAGGATGAAATGGATTGGAAGAAGTCTTGGCTGGGCTTGATAATCGATTACTAGGGAACTCAGCTCAAACATGCACAAATATATAATGAAGGCGCAAGTGTCAACTCTATCGACGACAACGATGTTACGAGATGAGCAACGATAATCCTGAATGAGGTTTGTCCTTCTAGTGAGTACTGTCACTTGTTGAGCACCGCCGCCCCAGTATATGCACCGAACAACGAGAAGGTTTCCTGGCCTGATTAACCTGCTTCAGCCTTCGATACAGCATGCTGTTAGTGCTCCGGCCAGTCGATAATGGGCGCTTCCAAACGCATATTCATAATAACCATAATTCAAGACATGCAGACATACAACAGGCGCTTGTCGATCTCTTTTGCTACCCACCACGTCGCTTTTAGTTCCATTTGCACCAAGACACCTCTCGACATGCACGCTCAGCCATCCTTCTCACTTTCTCGATGGACGAAAACAGTCCTCTTCGGAAGACACACTGGGGACAGTTAAAGCCAAGTGATCCAGGATCTCATTGAGTAGAGGAGAGTGGCAGGTGGGCAGCCAATTACGATGTACGAACTTTCATCTTTCCATCTACATTATTTCTAATCACTACAGCTGTCCTCTCTCTCGCCTTCTCTCATGGACGACTCCCAGGGTCAGTTCGCGAGTTATTTGGCAAGGTGACCAAGTGTTCTGCTCGAAGCGCTCGATAGTCTCCCAACCCTGAACGCATGGCTGCTAGGGTAGAGCACGGGTACGGGTAAACCCGCGGTTTATCGCTGACGGGTGTGGCGGGTACGGGTACGGTGTGGATTATGGAGACCCGCACGTACACTGTGCATACCCGTCGCGGTTTACGGTGTTGGACGGGTGTGGATCCCCAAGTTGTCCGAGGGTCAAAATTTCATTACTCATGAAGATCCTCCCGGCGAGTTGTAGCTGTCACCATGTGAACTTCGACTGCAGGTTCATCGAGTCGCAATGCCGATTCAAAGTCACAATCGACGGCACCAGCTATGCTAATTTGCCAGTGGAATGATATTCCATGAGCTCGGACAGAAGCAATAATTTGTGGTACCTAGGTTCTGTAGTACGAATTTAAAGGCCAATGAGTTGTGAAGAAATGCAGAATACTATTCACCTTCCTCTCATGTGCCGCTCAAAGAAGGCTGACGAGTCCTCCGTCGAATCATACTCGTCAAAAGCGTCTTCGCTAGCATCATCTCTGAAGTCTGTCAGCCAGGCAGCTAAGAAGGGTGTGGATGTGCTTACCCGTCCTTTGAAGAGAGTCAAAACTGTCTTGCTCTCGAAAAAGACACGCTCATCACTACCGTCATCCCCTGAACCATCGGTGATCGATATTGATGCCATCGACACGGCGACAAAGTCTGACGACGAAGAGGACCTAGATGCAGAACTTCGTAAGACTTTTACTGATACTACTATGTCAGTGCCTTACCGATTCAATACAAAAAAACTGAAGAAGAATTGGCGTTCACCTGTCTATGCGTTTTTTAACATTGATCGCGTTGCTGTTCAGAATGTGGATGGTCGTAATTGCCACTTCTTCCCCTGTGCAGCACAAAAATGTAAGACGAGAATTGGAGGGGTTCGCCGTTTCCAGGACTCGAAAGATAAGGCTTCGACTGCTAATCTAAAGAACCATGCCATTGGCTGTTTCGGTAACGAGGCTGTCAAAGTTGCATGTGTTGATAAGCAAGCGCCCGACTTACAGCCTAGTGGATCAATTTTCACCGCATTTGCACGCAAAGATAAAGAACCAGTCAATTACTCACATCGCAGCCATACCAATCCACAAGTTCGGTATGTGTGTACATTTTGATTAAATTCCATTTGAATGATGGGCCTTTGACAGCGCTCGACTTGTTCAATGGCTCACGGAATCTAACCGGCCTCTGAATATCATCAATGATCGTGCTCTTCGAGACCTTCCCACTGCTGGTCGCCCATCAATTCAACTCCCCTCACGTTTTACCATATCACGGGACATCAAGGCTTCATTTGAAAAATGTAGCGACCGAATTGGAAAACTACTTCGAGTGAGTTCTTGGAGTTTGTCGCCTATTGTTTCTGGTTATGACATAAATATAGGAATATCCTGGTCGCCTTCACTTTGCCACTGATGCGTGGACTTCGCCCAATCATAGAGCATTTGTGGCCTGGACAGTGCACCTGGAATTCAATGGCGAAATGCTCTGTTTCCTCCTGGATATCGTGGAGCTTGCAGAGGTTTGTGATATTTACCTCGCAGTACCTTCAATGAGAGTGTTCTGAACATTACTCTTTGTCAGTCTCACACTGGTGTTGCCTTGGCGAGAGCCTTTCAAGCCATGCTCGAACGTTTTGGTCTCACTGACCGGGTAGGATAATTTACACTATAACATGTTATATTCGTTACTCATTCATTTTTCAGATGCTCTCGCTTAATGCTGATAATGCAGCAAACAACAACACGCAAGTAGATATGCTTGCAACACTGAATAACTCCTTCAGGGCCGAGCAGCGTGTAAGGTGTTTTTGTCATACTCTTCAATTCGCTGCCAAAGCATTTCTTTCACCATTTCACTCGAGCATTGGATGTCAAGCAGGTGAAGGCAGTGATGAAGAAAATGACTGCCCTCCACTTATCCTTGATGATGACGACGATGGAGATGATGACAACTCAGAGAATGAAAAGACATCCAGTAGTAATACTGATGCTGACCTTGAGAACGACCCTGATGATGGTATTGATGAACTCCGACAACTACCTGATGATGAACAACAAGAAATGATTGTTAAGACAGTCACCATCAAGGAGGCTATATCCAAGGTTCGTCACTTATATGGTCATTTATATGGTCATTTTAGAAATAGGTTTCAAACTTGTGCAAAAACTTCTTTTTGTGGGCTGGTACATATCATAGTGGGCACATTTATATGGTCAAACTAGAAATAGGTTTCAAACTTGTGAAAATATTTCTTTTGTTGGGCTGGTACATATCATAGTGGGTACCTCTAGGATCGATATGAGCCAAGAATTAAAGAAATCGGTGGTTGGGTTGTGGAAATATGGTTGAAATACTGATATTTTGGCCTACCCACCATATCTCAATATTTCTGACCTCCAGAGGGTATGGGACCATCACCAATCGATTCCTGCACTTGGAAAACCTTAGGACAGTTGTTTATAGTACCGGTCTTAGGCCAAAATGAGGCACAGTGACATATAGGAGGTAGGAGGGGGGAGGGGGACTTTGCACATCTCAAGAACGTGATTTTTTCTAAGAAATCTGGCTCGACCATTGTGTTCAGAGGGTTCAAGAGCCCTCGGGAAAAATGCTTTTGGAGTCCTGGCAAGTCATTATATAGCACTTTTCTATATGGGTCGTGGTTAAGAAGGGGTCATTTCAAGACATTTCACAAATATAATCCTCCACTGGAACCGTTCCACTGGAGGGTCACAGAGTACCAGGGTATCGACAACAATGATCTCCACTGGAACCGTTCCACTGGAGGGTCACAGAGTACCAGGGTGTCGACAACAATGATCTCCACTGGAACAGTTCCATCAGAGGCTCGACTCCATGACAAGACAAAGACATTATGTAAGCTAATACCTGATCAACTAATTGATGAAAACCAATGTCGTAGCCCTCGTCAAGGGGAGTCCATCCATAGTCTAATGACATCAATAGGATAAGATCCTAATGAATTATAAGCAAAATACTCGAAATCGAAGGGTTCAACAAAGCAACTCAACCGTGGGAACTACTCCGATAAAAATGCAAAAATCAAGCAAAATCAAGCAAAGTCTGAATGAGGATTCGACCTGGGCCATAAGGATAAGGATAAGGAATACGATAGTCAAGACTACGATAGCAAAAAATCAAGAAAACAAGCAAAAGACAAGGATAAGGATCACGACGGTCAAGACTACGATACGATAAGCAAGTCAAGGATAAGAAACATTCTAAGGGCACATTTGTAACCTGGTATTGGTTACACCCAGGTTATGGCTAGCCAAAAGAGCACAATCTGGGCATTTCTCAACATGTCAAAAATGCCCAGAACAGGGGAGGTTGAATCTGGGCATTATGAAAGCAATTCAACCATGGGAACTACTCCGATAAAAATGCAAAAATCAAGCAAAGTCAAGCAAAGTCTGAACGAGGATTCGACCTGGGCCATAAGGATAAGGATAAGGAATACGATAGTCAAGACTACGATAGCAAAAAATCAAGAAAACAAGCAAAAGACAAGGATAAGGATCACGACGGTCAAGACTACGATACGATAAGCAAGTCAAGGATAAGAAACACGATACCATAGTCAAGACAAGGATAAGAAACGCGATAGACTACAATACGATAACTTACGATAACAATACGATAGTCAAGGATAAGGATAAGGATAAGCAGGGCAATCATATGTTAGACCGTCCCCACCCACCCACCCGTTAGCTCTCTCGTCGTCTCGTATAAAAACGTATTCTCTCGGTGTCTCGCTTCTCGGTTAGATAGCTTAGCAACACACTACAATACACCACAATACAATACCCCAGCAAGACAAGCAATACAACAGCAATAACTCAGGCAAAATCAACCAACACAATACCAAAAAAATAGCAGAAATCATCCAAAATGAACCCAAGTCTGAACAACATTTTCGCCTAACCCTGCCCCTCACATCAACCAAAATCAAGCCATGCAATACCAAAAAAATACCAAAATGAACCCAAAACCAAGCCCAGTCCTGACGAGGTTTTCGCCTAAACCTATGCCTCACATCAACCAAAATCAACCAACACAATACAAATAAAAATACCAAAAATCAAGTAAAGTCAAGCCCAGCCCTGACAAGGTTTTCGCCTTCGCTTACGCTTCAGATCAAGCAACACAATAGCAAGAAAATATCAAAAATCAAGCAAAAATCAAGCAAAGTCAAGCAAAGTCTGAACAAGGTTTTCGCCTCACCCTACGCATCAGATCAAGCGACACAATAGCACAAAAATAGCGAAAATCAAGCAAAGTCAACCCAACTACAAACAAGGTTTTCGCCTCACCCCACACCTCAAATCAAGCAAAGTCAAGCAAAGTTGAAACAAGGAAGAGGATGAGCAATACAACAGTCAAGACTACGATAGCAAAAGACAAGGACAATGATAAGAAACGCCACGCCACGCCACGCCATACCCCACAACAACCAAGTCAAGTCAAGGATAACAAACACAACAGACCACCATACAATAAAAACGCAAGACAATACGATAACAATACAATAGTCAAGGATAAGGATATCAGGGCTCGCCATACGTCAGCATTCTTGAATCGCCCCCACCCCCCCACCCGTTAGCTTTCTCGTCGTCTCGGATAAAAACGTATTCTCTCGGTGTCTCGGTTAGAGGTACCATACAACAGCCAGACAAGCAAGGCAATAGACTACAATAGTCAACCCAAGCATAAGGAATACAATACAAATACAATACAAAACCGCAATAGATCACAATACACCGCAATAGTCAACACAAGGACAACAAATACGGTACAATACCAAGACAACACAATACCCCCAAAACAGCCAAAATAAACCAACCCCAGAGCCATAAAATAGCAAAAATCAAGCAAAATCAAGCCCAGTCCAAACCAGGTTTTCGCCTTCCCCTACCCCTCAGATCAAGGGACACAATAGCAAAAAAGCATCGAAAATCAAGCAAAGTCAAGCCCAGTCCAAACAAGGTTTTCGCCTTTCCCTACCCATCGCAACAGCAAAAAAATAGCAAAAATCAAGCAAAGTCAAGCCCAGTCCAAACCAGGTTTTCGCCTTCCCCCACCCTTCACCCCAGACAAGATCAACCGTTCCATCAGCAGAAAAAAAACAGCAAAAGTCAAGCAAAATCAAGCAAAGTCCGAACAAGGCTTCAACCCAGACAAGGAGTGAAACAGTCAAGACCACCATAGCAAAAAAATCAACAAAACAGGCACAAGACAAGGATAAGGATAAGGATCACAACAGTCAACACTACGATAAGGAAGTCAAGGATAAGAAAAGCAATACCATAGGACACAATACGACAGTCAAGACAAGGATAAGAAACGCAACGGACTACGATAGACCACCATACAACAATATGCGATTCTAAGGGAAAATTTGTAACCTGGTATTGGTTAGAGCCAGGTTATGGCTAGCCAAAAGAGCACAATCTGGGCATTTCTGAACATGTCAAAAATGCGCAGAACAGGGGAGGTCAGATCTGGGCATTTCTCAACATGTCAAAAATGCGCAGAACAGGGAGGGTCCAATCTGGGCATTTCTGAACATGTCAAAAATGCGCAGAACAGGGGGGGTCCAATTTGGGCATTTCTGAACATGTCAAAAATGCGCAGAACAGGGGAGGTCGGATCTGGGCATTTTTCAACATGTCAAAAATGCGCAGAACAGGAGAGGTCCCAACTAGGCATTTCTCATTTTGACATGTTGAGAAATGCCCAGATCCGACCTCCCCTGTTCTGCGCATTTTTGACATGTTCAGAAATGCCCAGATCCGACCCCCCCTGTTCTGCGCATTTTTGACATGTTGAGAAATGCCCAGATTGGACCCCCCCTGTTCTGCGCATTTTTGACATGTTGAGAAATGCCCAGATTGGACCCCCCCTGTTCTGCGCATTTTTGACATGTTCAGAAATGCCCAGATTGGACCCCCCCTAGAGAATGTTAGACTTAGTGACATTTTTCTGCCATTTACTGTTCTCCCATTACCCTTTTAATTTTCACTAGTCCAACACCTGTTGTGCCTTCAGCACAGGAAGCAATAGGAGTGCTTTGCGCTCCTTTTTGGCTTCATCCTAATATTCATAGTTACTGTGCCTTTGGTACAGTAAGGCAAAGGAGCACTTTGTGCTCCTTTGGGAGATACATGCAGCACCTTGACTGAATCATCAGCATAATGGATCTTGAAATAAATCAATAATGATGATAATAATACATTTTTGAGCAGCACTTTCACACATTTCAAGTACAATCTGTTGGCTACTCAACAACTGATCTTGGATGCTATCTTGAGTCACATTTGATACCATATGACATCTCTGCACAACAATCCTCTTGAACACCTTGGCTAATTGTTCATAGTATAACACAAGTGCTCTCATATCATCCAGGTACCTAAGTATTGTGTTGATACACTACTGAGCTAGTTTTTTGCTAGCATGTATAATCTACCACACATCAACAAAGTAGACAATATAAATCAATTTAATTTTACTATTTGACCATCTATCCTCTTCTTTCCCCTGTCTTCCTGGTTTTGGCTGTGTCCTCATAATCATGGACAAAATAAAAGTAGAGAATATAAATCAATTCTCCCGCCTCCCGCCTCCTGCCTCCTGCC